TTTTAATGAAAGGCAGTTGAGGGACAACCTAGTCTCATGGACTCAAAGGATCAGACAGATTGGCCACTAACCACAACAAAAAGGACAAATGTACCTTTTTAATGGGAAGATGTGCCACTTACCACCTTAGTCAAGTAACCAAATTAAGTAGCACCTTTTGATATGATTATAAAGGGAATATAGTATAATACTATATTATATAGTATTCCTGTCAAAAATGCCTAATTTCAATCTAATCAAAGAGACACAATAAGAACCCAGATTGCATTAAAGATGTCAAAAAAGATGAAAGGGGTGAGAGGAATAGCCTAGGATAGTGCTGTCCAGTTGGAAATCAAGGTAAACTGAAAATGTAGTTTAAAAAATTTCCATTGGCTGTGCTAAAAGAAATTGATTCAATTTCAATAATATATTTTATTTGATCTAGGAAAACATTATTTAAAAATGTAACCAACATGTATTAGGTAGCTTATATTTTTGCAATAAATCTTGAAAATTCAATGTGTATTTTATAATTATAGCATGTGTTAATCCAGAGTAGTCATATGAAGCACTTGGTAGTTATATGTGGATAGGCATTAGAAGGGAAGTTCTCGCTTAAAGTAGATCTAAGAGACATCTGTGACCCTTGATTATATTGTGTATTGGTAAAAGAGAAATATCTGGAAAAGATATTTTGAACAAAATTAGGAAATTTTGAATAATGATATTGGATAACATTATTACATCAGTGTTAAATTTGGGGGGGGGATATTGTGAATATGTAGGAGATGTACTTTTCAGGAACTTCATAATTAAGCGTAAAATGGCATACTCTGTAACCTACTTTCAAGTGGTTCTGAAAAAAAATAATGTATGCATGTGTTTTATACATGTGTATTTATATAAATATGTGCACACGTATTGGTAAGGATATAAAGTATTTTATTTGAACAAATAAATTAACAAGCTCTATTTATTAGATAGATAGAGAACACTATTCCTAACAATTTTAGATTATATATTATTTCAAGCAAATGTGGAACATTATGAAAATTGGTTTATAAAGTAGAAGTCAACAAATTTCAGAGAGGTGGAGCTCTACAAAACTTGTTCTTTACCATGAAATTACATTAGAAAGTAACACAATGACAATTTAAAAATTCTGTAACTTGGAAATAAAATATTTTTGGAAAGTATGAGGGATGGATGGGGATGGTATCGTGGTTGTAAGTGGGAATCCTGTTAAGGAAGCTATTGATGTTCTAGATGAGAGACGACGATATTAAGGCCATATTAAGGCTGTGTGACTGGGAAGGGATTGGGGGGATTTGATGACTGAGGGAGAATGAAGAGTGGAGATGGCTTCTAGGCTTAAAAGGGACAGTAGTGTCATTAACAGTGAGAGGGATATGTTGATTGAGAGAGAGATAATTATTCAAATTTGGAGATCAAGAGTGGTCTGAACAAGACACGTAGATTTGTAATTCACACACATTCAGGTAACAAGCATAACATGGTAGTGGGCCATATCGTTCAAGTGAAGTTCAAGAGTATATATAGTCAAGGAGCCGGGCACAGTGGTACACATCTGTCATCCCAGCGGCTGGGGAGGCTGAGGCAGGAGGATCACTAGTTCAAAGCCAGCCTCAACAAGTTAGTGAGGCTGTTAGCAACTTAGCAAGACCCTGTCTCAAATAAAATGTAAAAAGAGCTGAGGATTTGGCTCAGTGGTTAAGCATCCATGGGTGCAATTCTCATTACCAAAAAAAAAAAAAAAAAAAAAAAAGAGTCTAGTCAAGGAAAGAACCACGAGGCACACACAACAGCTGGAGGAGGTCAGGCTAAAATGAGCCCTAGAAAGAGGTGAAAAAGTCAAAAGTGCAGGAAATTGAATAGACAATTGCTTTTTGGTCAATGAATAATTGATGGCAGAGTGACTCTGAGGCCACTGTGGCAAATACTCTTAAGGACTGGAGGCGTCTGGTTGACATTCTAATGTATTATGTTCCTTTTATCTGATTTCATCACACAACCTCAAAATATTCATCAGTTAACCCGTCTTTTCTTTTCCTCTCTCTTTCTTGTACTAACTGTTCCAATCAGAAGAGATTAATAATTCATGTTCTAGAACTGAAATTCTAGAGTTTTATGAGGTTGATTTAAGGACTAGATTTTACAAAAAGGCAATCAGTTATCAACTCAGAGATATTGTAATTTTCTCAGAGTCACACAGTGAGTCTATTCTCCCAATAGGGTGAGCTAATTGGAACCAGTGTCGGGTTCCCAAGTCTTAATTGCCTTTCTAGATGTTTCCCTTAATTCTGTGTTGCTATTTAAGGGGTAAAACTGTATTTACTTTGTATTTTGGATGCAGTCCTAACACGATTTAGTTAACTGGTACTATAGAGGGCTTTTAGTTTAGCACTTAAATGGATTATGCCTAAAGATTTTAACAGTCTTCCAAAAAGGCATATTGTTTGTTTTATTTTTATAGTAACTCTTTTGCTTTATTAATTATTATAGTAACACAAGCTCATTATAAACCTTTGAGAAGTACAAAAAGAGACACATAATGTTGAGAAGGAAAGTCCCTATAATATTTTGCCCTCCTTCTCTTCAAAGATAGGCGCCGTTGTTAATTTTAGTTTAGTGTAAGTATTAGTCAAGATTGGGCTCTGCTGAGTGACACATAAACACTGATTCTCGGTGGCTTGTTTCACATTTAGTGAAGATTTATTCTGCCCTTCTTCCCTCCATCACAGTGTGATAGACAGTTCCATGTTGTGGCTCTACCATTTTGTGGACTTGCTTCCCAGGACACATAGCAGGCTGGAGGAACGGTTTAAGGCCTGGGCCTGGTGTGACTCACATCTGCTCACATCTGATTGGCCAGAATCTATTCTCCTGTCTTTATCCTGATCATCAGGGGTCTCCACTGGGGTATGCATTCTTCATATTTTCACTGTGCATCTGTCAATGAATAAACCAGTACTCACAGATAATATATAAATGTGAGATAATCATTATGATTTTTCATAGCACATTTAGGTAATAAATAAAAATGCCCACAGAGCATTCTTCTCAAAATAATATAACTCTTAAACAACACCTCCTCACCTTCTCCCCTAATTTGCAGTCCATCCGTTCTCGGCTCATGATGTCAAATTTGCAGTGTGTTTGGATGTAAGCATCAACAATCTTTGATGGATGGTCAGCTTCTTCCACATCTAACTTCACACATGCAGCAGTTTTCCTGTCTTGAAAGGCCAAACAACAAAATGAAAACCTCCTGTGGGTTCTAAGACTTTCTTAAGGTCCATTGCTGTCTTTCTGCAGCATTATTGCCTTATTGCCACTGTAAAAGTCAGTCTCTAGATCTCTGGCTTGCATTTCTTGGGCTTCCTCCCCACCTGTTTTTTCTCCTTTACTTCCTGCCGTGCTTCTTCTCGCTGTCACTTACGCCATCCACTGAGAGTGGCAATCGTGTCTTATTAATGATTGTGGCTTGCATCCATCTCCACTCTCTTGGAGTCAGCATCGCAGTTTTCGTTAGATAGATATCCATAAGCATATAAACGAAGATGCCCACAGAGCATGGAATGATTAAGAATGCAGTTTTGGGGGGCTGCCTGTTTGAGTCTGAATGTTCTTCTACCTACTACGAGTTACATATCTTTGGGAAAGTTATTTGCTACTTCTCTGCTTTAGTTTCCTCATCGGTGAAATGCGGGTAATGATGATACTCAATTTATGGGGTGGTTGTGAGAAAAATATGAGAATCCCTATCTAGCAATTAGCACACTTGGCATATGGTAAATATTTTTAAATGCTCCTGCTTTGAAGACAAACTTAAAAAGTTTTCTCCTGAACTCTCTACTCCCACCACTTAGAGAGCCATTCCTCAACCTACCATGTGTGTTTGTATATGAACCTTGGCTGGCAAGCTTTTAGTCACCCTCTGAGGACAGTGAGGCTGGAATTGTCTCTTTGCATGAGGAGGCACTTCAGTAGAGCACAGTGACGGACATCATGAGTCCTGGCTCTGACCTTCCAGGATCTTGAGAAAGCTGCTCTTCCTCATGTGTTGAAGGCACCTTGCCAAAAATGACTGTTCTGAGGTCCGTGGGATAATTTATAGACGATACTAACCAGTCCTCCCATTACATTATGAATAGTAAACATCCATGTTCTGCTTTCCATTTCTCCCCCAGTTTTGCATTCCCTGTTATACATTTAAATCTAAACTACTTAATGTGGCCCAGTGTGCTTTTGTTTGCTGACATAGAGACCCTCAATCAGTTCATCCATTTTTTCTAAAGCACAGGGTTTCATCTCGTGTTTTCTCTGAATCTTGTATTGTGCCTGAGCAAGGAGCTAAAAGGTGCTCATTAAATTTCTGACATAGTATTTTTGTTATAATACTTAAGATTATGTATTTGTCCCATTTTCTGTACAAGATAAAAAAACAATGGATATTTAAAAATATTGATGTAAGTTTCTCTTTAGATTCTAAGAACCAGATTTTTTGAAGAAGATTTTGCCTTTTCTGGACTTTTTGGTCTTAAATGATGTGATTTCTGAAAGTGTTTCTGTTTGCATTAGCTACGATTTGCTGAATTATTTTAAAATATCAGGCCTGCCTATAAAAACGAAGTTTTGTGCTGATAAGGACTAGGGCCGTGCTGTCTGTGTGTGAAGGAAGCGGCTTGTGCAGGCTGGTATGTGCTGTGCTGTCCCAGGCATTTTTCTGGGAGCTGTTTCCTTTCTGATATATGCAGTTCATTTACTCTATACTTTGCAGTCCTAAATTTTAGTAATTGCAAAGTATCTGAGAAGCATGGGGTGAAAAAAAAACACACGAGTGTGTTCTTTGAGTATCTCTGTGTTGGTAATTGTTTTGAAGGATATTGTACCTCTTCTTATTAAAAATCTGTGATTTGCAATTTAATTTGAAAAGTGCATATAGAAAACTATGAAGCATTATACACTTAAAGCTTTTTCTCCCCCTTAAATTCCAGAACCAGTTAAACTGCATAAAATAATGATTGATATTGAACCCGTGAGTAAAAAAATGGAGAAAGAAAAGCAACAGCAACCCGGGAAGTCCAGGTAATAGGTAATTAAATAACCTACAGAAAATGTATATTTCTTATACTTTGCCAATATTCTCTGGCCAATTGTCATGGTTTCTCAAATCTATCTATTAACACCCCATGCATGAGGCTAATTTATCTTTCTACTTGAGTCCCTCAAAGCATATCAATTATCAAAATTTTAGTTTTCAGTTCAATTAACTTTTGAACTGGAGGATGTCTGAGTAGTTAAGCAAACCATCTGGGTTTTACAGTGCATAAGCTCAAATCCAATTTGTGTCTTTCTTGAGAAAAATGCCATATTTTATGATAATATTACATAAGTTTGGAATTTTAATAACTCTTCTGCAGCAATTATGGAGCAGAGTAAGTTATAATTTTCCTTTTAAAATCTAATAATTAAAGGTTAGTCTTTCCCTAACAGAAGGTGAGGCTGGCTCTACAGAACACAGTTTGAACATAGGAATTTTGAGCCTTGCTTCTGGTTTCCAAGTGTTTGGAGATGGGTCAGTTACTTCTCTGAATTGTTCTACAGATTTGCATCACTGTCTTCTTCAAGAAAACTTGAAAATTGTGTACACAACTGTTGGCCCTCAGGCTGCAGATAGAACCACTCACAGGCCTTCAGCACATATTTTGGGAGACATTTATACTTTCAGACTATAAACACTGCTCTGTTAAGATGTGTTGCTAACATTATTTTACATTGTTCCATTAATAAAACATGGTCAGAAAGGGGGGTAATGGGTACAAACTATAAATAGCAGAAATTGGAGAAGATGCTACTATGGCTGTAAAGAATAGCCTATGTCTTCCAACATTGATGCTGCAAATTGTGCTTTGTACAAGGAGATCCATGTGCAGGGTGACCACTTTCTTGGCTTAAGTGTAACATGATATGCCAATGTGGAGCAGTGGATGTGTCTGCAGCTTCAACACTGCAGCTTTAGGGAGGACACTAAGTACAGAGGGAAAGAAATTGTACTGGATATGTAACAGTTTTTTTTTTTTTTAAAAAAATCTCCTTTCTGGTTTTTCCAAGTTTAACCCAAGATCTAGAAAAGGTTGGTCTAGTAGAGTGGTTAGCTATGAAAAGACTAGTTAATAAAGCAATTGAACGAAAGAGTTTAGAATTTCAAGTTAACAAAACTCATCTGAAAATCAATTTCAACGTATTTAGGTGAGGCTCGTAATCCAGGGAAGAAGAATAATGGTTTAGGGACAAGTGGAGCACTCATGAATAATAAATCTGATCAGGTGTAATATCTTTCAGTATAATGTCTTTCTCAAGAGGGTTGAATATTTCTCAGAGAATTGTTTCTTCTGCAACTCGTGGAAGATAAAGATCTCACGACACCCTAACTTACCATTTTTAATGAAAACATGTCCTGTTTAATGAGGAATATCAACCCCCTTTGAAATTAAGAGCAAGTGCATGTACTTCAATGACAGCCCTGGGCACATAAAGCCCGAACTTCAATCCACCTGGGCCGCCTTGTCTTTATTTATAGCTAGTTTATGGTGGTAACTTGTTTTCTACCTTAGCAGTTAGCTTCATTTCATTAATGTTAGAAGTGTGATGGGAATGTGGAGGAAAAGACAAATAAGTGTTTTGGGACATGGTGACTTGGGGTTTTTGAAAATCTATGCTTAAATAGACAAAAAGTCATTGAACCAAATATATTTATTGAAATCTAGTTCTCCATGTAATGCATATCAGAAAGCAGCACTGAGAATACAAGCAACAGAGGGAAAATAGAATCAGTCAGGAAATCAGATAGGGGATTGTTAACAATTACGTTCTAGGAATAATTATCATGAATTGCCCAGCTCTTTGAGAGATCTGGCAAGGTTTCTGTTCAAGTCACATAGACCCCTGTGAGATTAGTTGTATATAAACTATTTACAGTTCCCCTGAAGATGCCTTAGAAAGTACTAATTGTTAAGGTGACACATAACATTTTTAGGTAGACTATAAAACACTCTAGCCACATAAAATAAATTTTCTTAAATAAAGTGTGAAAAATATGAGTCTTATAAAAGTATGATTTCTTACTTTTCCCTCAAATTTCTCTGTTTCTTAACTGGCAGAGAAAAAAACAAATGGGGGTATTTCTGCATTTTCAAATTTGAGTTTAAGTAGATTGAAGTTCTTCAATCTACTTTTGAATTCTAAATTCAAAGATTCATTGTCATATATTAAAATACTCTTGATGACAATAATGTTAAAGGTAGGTGCATTCTAAATGCTAATTTTCTAGCAACAAAAATTTACTTATTCAATTATTTACCAGTGCTGATTTTTTAGTTGATGATATAATATTTTAGTTGATGATATAGTATTTTTATCATGATACAATACTAAGTGCAAACAAATTAGAAAGTTCATATGCATTTATGTACCTATAAACGTAGAGATGGTATGGAATATATTATTTAGTTGATGATATATGGAGCCTTTAAAAGTAGGACAACTGCATTTCTGTATAGGCACACTGTAATTCAGGTGAGTGAATCTGGATTTCTTCCCCTACTTCTATGTTCAGTGAGAATTTTCGAAGGGCACATGACAGTCTATGTGGAGGTTAATTATGATCAATTTAAAAACAGAATGAGGATATTATATAATAGCAGTAGAATCCCTGATGGCATTTCTTATTTGTGTTGAAACACTTTGTCATTTCACCTTAATGTTTGTCAAATATTTTGCTTAAGTAAATGAGTTGTCTACTTCCAGTAGAATATTTCATTAGTAGGGAATCACAGAGAAAATGCTGTTAATTCTAGTTTAGAGATTAATACTAAGTCATGGACCACATATTGGAAAGTAAAGCAAGCTGTGTCTGATTAATATATTTTACCCCATTCTTGCTAGCATATAAGTCAATTCTAGAATTTCATATGAAATTTTGCAAAACTGCCTATATATTCAAGTGTTCCATATTTTGTTGACATATTTTGGCCAAATCTGTGGGCATGCCACAAAAGTAACAGATAAACTAATGGATTCTATGAATTGGTCATTTATTTGTCATTTGCTGAGTGACTACTTTCTATCAAGTATGTTACTCTGAACAGGACAGTCACAGGCTCTGCCCTTATACACCCTAGTATTTTGGTCAGCAAAATGTTTTAAAATAGCAAAAACTTATGTAAAATTTACAGAATGTTTGAACCACAATTCCAGTTTTATACATTTTTAGTAAGAAAAGAATTGAACAGGTGCACAAATATGAATGCTCAAAGATTTTCATCCTTAATTGCAAATAACAAAAGTGTACAAGCAACTTATATAATCAGCCAAAGAAGACTGGTAAATAAGCTGTCAGTATACTAAACCCATACAATGGAATACCAAAATACAATGGGCTAAAATGTGCATCTTTGTATTTTTATTAATGACATAATACCAAGTGCAAACAAATTGGAAAGTTCATGTGCATTTAGGTACCCATGAACATAGAGAGGGTTTGAAATATATTATACTTGACACATGGAGATCGTATAAAATAGTAATATAACTTCTGAGGCCCCAATGCCTGACTTCAAATCCTAGCTTTACCAATTTCTGGATGGGCAATCTGAACTATATATTATTTGACAACTAAATGTTTCAATTTATTCATGTATGAAATGGGTATTAAAATAGGAACTACACATTGTTGGTAGGTTTAATTCAGGGAAGACGTGTAAAATACTTAGAATAGTATCTGACTCAAAGGAAGCATTAAAAGGGTTTGTAATATAACATGTCATGCTGATGGGATTAGGAGTGATTTTTATTTTCTTTCAGGTTGCTATTTACATTTGATAAAATTCTATGTGGTACTGAACTCTTGATTCAGATGACTTGGTTGAAGCTCCCCAAGTCATGTTAGGAAAGTGTTAAAATTTCTTGTAAAACAACAAAGAAATAGACATGATGCTTATTCGTCTTCCTGATTTTTGTTAGACAGGGCCAGTTCAGAGAGCAGATATTCCTATTTGTTATCCTTGCTCAGAAAAGTTTGTTATTATTTTATCGTTCTTCAGTAATGAGTATTGACTCTGCATGTCACTGAGGGTGCTACAGGTTTGTCTTGTGGACTGGAGACGCTGAGACTAGCACTTAATCCTGTAACATTAGCCTTGAAGGTTGTCATACAGATCTAACTTTATGTTTTGGAAACAGAACGGTGGATTTTTTAGAAGCCTTTCCCATTCTTCCTGGTTTGTCAATACCACCCAAGATCTCCTCTTCCACAGGACTTGAGAAAGAACCTGGTGAGTTTCACAACATAAATGTTAGTATAAGCACAATGATTTTTTATAATTTTGTACTCATTTAAAATTTAAAAAAATTGTATCGAAGAGAGTTATTTCCTTCATAATTCATTTCAAGTATTGTGTAAAAAGAGAAAGAGATTTGGAAACAATGGTGAGTAACTAATTTTCACTCCTTTATTTGAATTTGAGAGGCTGAATTTTTAAAAATATGCATGAATATTGAAGGTTTTAGGAAATTATAAAGGTAAATTCTTAATAATTTAAGAAGCTTCTCTATAGTTGATGTATTCTTGTTTTTAAAAATACATAATATTCTTCAAAAGAAAAATACACATGATTCTTTAAATTCCCTTGAGCGTGATTGAGAAACTCTCTGGAACTTGGGGAACTACTGGAAAACCTAGGGGGCTATTGATTCAAAGAAACTATTTTGTAGTTTTTCCCTTTTTTTAAAACTTGTTACTCATGTTCTTGAGCCTCAGGCTGTCATTAAGAAAAAAAAATCTTCTTGTAGAGCAGGACTTTGATTGATTTTGGAAGAAATTTTTAAATTTTCAGAATTAACTCCTCCTTGGGCTCTCAAGGCACTGTTGAATAAAATGTTGTTTATCTCATTTCAGTTTTACCATCCTTTGTTTGGATTGTGATGGAAGGAATTCAAGTATCAAGGCTTGTTTCCAAATTTAATTTTTTTTTTGAAACCCATTTCATTATCCAACCAGTATTCACCAAAACTACAAACATTAATGCATATAATGTCAAAATCCTGACTATCTGCCTTGGATCTGCTTTAAACATGTTATTGTTATAGCTTAAACATTTTAAAGACTTGATTAGATCACTTGAGGTTCCAGATTAATAGAATAATGTGTGGATCTCAATTGAGTCTAGAATTGAATATCCACATGTAGAAGTAAATGCTGGCCCATATTTACAGACCTGTGGGTTCTAACAGGACTGACAGTGTTAATAGGTAATAATTTTAAAATCTGTTAACTCTGAAAGCTGAGGTCTACAGCTCATAAATAGCATCAATTGAAGTCCCACTAATTCTGTGATATTTAGAGTTTATTCAGGATCCTGTGAGGGTTGGTGAAAACCTTTACCTTCATCTTCATTCTCCTCAAAGATATCACACATGTCTTTCTTGCAGAAGAGCTTCTGAGTTGGTCAAAAGGGTTGGCCATTCTTATGGCTTTAGTTTGAATACTGAAATTTATTCGAGTATTCTTTTTACATATACATGGAGTTCACTTATATTGGGGCGTGGCCACTGTTTATTTAATGCTAAACAAAAGACAGAAGACCTTTCTAAACTGTTTGTTGAGAGAATTCAGTTAGTAGCTCCAAATCATTGTGAAATTGTGAGCGGAAGGAGCAGAATTTCAGTCCATTTGTATAGTAACTTTTGAGGTTGCTAAAGATTCTACCACTTCAAAAATGTTCTGCTGAAATATCTGATATTTACCACAGGAATCATAGCTTCATGAAAGTCAAAAAACTCCCATACTTATCATAATGTCTGGCACCCAGTAGGCATTTAAATGAATGAATGAATGAGTGAGTGAAAAGAAATTAAAAGAAAACACCCAAATGGAGCACACTTTGAAACATATTTGAACACTATTTTAATAGTTTTTTAATACTATGTGTAGACTGCAAATATCACCAAACCAGATAAAATGCCATGCAGTTTATATACATTAAAATCAAATTGTTGAACAGATTATATTGTTTTATGATATTATTTATAACTCACTCAATATTCATGTAAGTACATGCGGAGGGAGAAGGTTGAATATGCTGAAAGTGTAAAAAAAAAAATGCCAAAGAAAAATCATCATTTCCCAGTGCTATAGGGTTGCTGTTCCTTTTTCATTTAAAATGAAATGTATCTTTAATAAAAAATAAGAATTGATATTTAAACATGCTTTGTTGTATGTGAAATTTTTGTTTTATTTTGTTTTTAGCCAAAGCATCCTTTTGTAATTGCAATAACAACAAAAAAAACTTTAAAAAAATAAAATAAAAAGAACTGAAATACCTGAAGGCTATTATTTTGTAAAATTAAAATATGAAAAATGTTAATTTAACTCTAAAGTAACCTTAGGTACATTACTTACTTTGGATCTTGGATGAAAAATAATGAATACTTTTTATAGATGCTTTTTAATTTTTTAGTTCATCTTGAGGATATAGCCTAAAAAATCTGTACAACAAAATATTTTTCTCCACATTTTCATAACAATTACTAAGTTACAGCTTTAATGAACATGTCACAGATTAAAATTGCCCAATTCTTTTTTAGAATAAATGTTTTTCTTCAAGGAAAAAGGAAAGGAAAATAGAACGTAGGAATTAAGACAAATTCTGCTTTCTATCCATTTCATGAAAGTATGAATCACAGCTTGAAGCCTCCCGTGCGTGGTAGAGTAGGTAGTGCTTAGAGCAAGGTTGTAATCACTGAGGGGAGAATCATGATTCCACCAGGTTCTAATTGGAAATCTCATTCATGACTCTGTGACTCCGTTTCTTCATTGGATGGAGGGGGGATAATAACAATACCAAACACACAAGGTTTAGCTTGTCAAGTTCCTGACAGACATCCTGGTGCTTCATACCATTGAGCTCTCTATTCGCCATCATTTCCCTAGGTATGAATGAATTGTAAAGCACAATACACTCAAAAACCTGGTGTTCCATCATCTAGCTTTGACCCTATCTTAGATGATAGATTATCAGAATCAGAAGTCCCATCTCCTGACTTCATTGCCTGACTTACTCAGGAAGTACGTAAATAGTAACCGTAGCCCCACCTGGGGTCAGTCACCTGTTTCAGTGTTTGTTTTGTTGCCATCTGCTTAAGACCTTGAACTTGCCTCTTTGCCCTCCTATTTCCAGACATTTGGTGGGTTACTTTTAAACTGATTCCTTCGGCGCTTCTTTCCCTGGTAATTTCACAACTTCTTCTAAGAAAACAAGACTCATGGTAAAAATGGTTGTATAGAAAAACACTTTAACAGACTTTTAAAAACTGAGTCCATGGAGAGAGAGAGGTGAGTCAGAGGCCCACCCTATCTACATCCCTTCCCTCACTGGCCTATGTGGAACCCTTCGCCTCTCTGGGCTTTAGTTTTACCACTTGTAACCCTCAAGGAAAGAATGAAGCTGCCATTAAGGAAAGGGATAGGTCAGAAGATTTCCTCCTTCTCTGGGGCTGCTTCTTAGCCCTTGGAACATCTCTACAGGGTCATCTGCGGGAGAGAAGAGACGCTGCTTCACTTTTCCCTGCTTGCCACGTTCACATCCTTGAGGCCCTCAAGGTGAATCTCATTAAGTGCTTCCTGTAACTCTGTCTACACCACTTTCTACAAGACACTGTGGATTTGATTCACCTGTGATGGCTGAACCCCCCTCCCTATCTAATTCTGTATGTTTTCTTCCCAGACCTCTCCCCCACCTTTCCCATTCCTGGAAGCTGTCTCCTGTGCTCCCTGAGCTCATAGCCAGTAGCCAGCAAATCCCCTGTCCTTGACCTCCTTGAAGCACTCCCTGCACTTTCTTGGCCTAACTGGATTCTGATAATGTTTCTGTCTCTCCTGCCCTTGGAAGTGGTGCTGGTTTCCTCTCCTGTACCTCACACTTCTTGGATTAGAGATGGGGAGGGGTTCTCCTCACTTCTCATTGCTGATTCCAGACCATTTTCCTTTCTTCTTCCCTGAAACTCTGAGCTTCGATCTCTTGGTATCTGACTATATCCTCCATCGCCCCTCTCTCTCAGTAATCATTGATGTTTTATCTTTTCTCTCATATCTTAAGTTTAGCCCTTGGGTCCCTGTCATTCTCTCTAACACTTGTGATTCTTGGTGATTTTGGTATTCAGATAAATAAACTCTTAACTCACAGTTCCTGGGGCTCTGGTCCTCCAGCGATTGGCCTTCTATCATACTCCATCTATTCTGAATAGTTATGGACTAGAGAACCTCCTCTAGCCACACCCTACCACTTCAGTTATCACTCTGTTAATTCATATAAGGGGATTAATTCACTGATTGGCTCAAGACGCTCAGAACCCAATCATTTCTCCTCTGAATTCTTGAATTATCTCACATGTGAGCTCTTGGGAGATACTTCACATCCAATTCATAGCAAATTTAATTTGCTTATATGTATTTTTTATTTGTATTAGAGAAATTGGTGTGTAATTTTGCTTATTTATAATATTTCTGTCAGGACTTGATATTGAGATGATGGCATTTTACAGTGCATTGGAAAGTATTTCCCCACTTTCTCTTGCTTGGATAAATTTGTGTAAGATTGTATAGTTTCTTTTCTTAATGTTGGGGGAAAATTACCAATGAAGTTACTTGGTCAGGAGATTTCTTTATATGGAATCATAAAAGCACAGATTAAATGTCTTTAATGAAGTTAGAAATGATGAGACTGTTTTCATCTGTCAGTTTTAGTAAGTTGTATTTATAGAGATATGTCTCAATTGTCAAAAGTATTGCCACAAATTTGATGGTAATAACATTTGCATTGATGTCTCTGTTTTAATTCTCAATATCAATTATTTGGTTCTCTCTCCGTCTTTTCTTCCTTCCCTCCCTCTGTTGTCTTTCTCCGTGGTCATTTTTGTATGGGTCTGTTAAATTTATTGTTTCCTTTTTTAAACCACCTTTTACTTTTGCCAGTCTTCTCTATATTACATTGCTTTCTACTTCATGAATTTTTGTTATTATTTCCTGTTCTTCATGTTGTTTACCTCTGAAGGAATACTTTCTTTTTAGGTACCAATATTTGCTATTTGATGTCATTTCAACACTTACTCCTAATAATGACATTTTCTAAATATGAATATGTATAGTAATGTTGCCTAATGAGTGTGGTGGAACCTTCTTTCTATAAAATGGATGAGACTCTTGTTAGGACAAAAGTTCCCTTTAAAAATATCCCATAGAGTGCTAGACATATGGAATCTCAAAAAGTACTTTATAAATGGCTTTTGTTCCCTAAGAAGATAGTCTAAAATAAAATCATCATTATTGGATTCATATCATAGTAAGATCAATTGCAAATTTCCAGGTTTTAGTTTTTCATTATAAAAAGCATATGCAACCATATTAAAGAGCATTCTTTTCCATTAATGCCACCACTTCTTTGCAGCCATGATTAATAACTTGGTTAATTCCCTTATGATTTTCGTCTCCTTTGTGTCTTTTTAAAACCTGCGGCTATGTGAACATTTTTTCTAGTTGTCTATTGTAATGATTTCATTATTTGAACAAAAATGTCCGCTTATTTTCTCCCAGTGCTTATAAGAGAATGCTCCCCTTGTGTCCCAGTGCAGCAACCCCCCCGCCCCAGCTTCCCCATGTGCCTGCCCCACCAGGGTGGCTGGGTTTCCGAGGAAGAAAAGCCATACTTCATTCCTTCCCTCTGACACTGTGTGAAGGCAGCTCAAGGAAGCAAGGGATGGAGGGACTACTCGCCCATTTTGGAAATAGAATTTAATTGTTTAAAATAAGAAAATAGATTTAGTTTTGTGCCGGAATCCACTTTATCACAACAGGTGGCACGGAGAGTGCCTGTCTACGTACATTCAGTCTACGACAGCTTGTCCTTTGAAGTCTACGGCACCCGGTTCCCCAAATTTTACTGTGATCATCAAATGCCTTCTCATAAATATTTTCACTTACTGACACAATTTTAATTATTGTTTTATAGCAACATGATTCAAAAATGTTTTCAAAAGCTGACATTTAATATATTTAAGTTATCTTATTAGTTTTTGCTGCAGTGGCTATTCAAAAATTAAAGCTAAAGCTTTCTAATAAAATAATGGAATCATTTTTTTTAATAAAATAAAAAATGGCATAATTTGTGTCACACCAATTTGTGTCACACCTCACTGGTAACAAGTTCCTTTTATATGTGCTCTCCTTTAATTCTCACAGGGTCTTTAAATGGCCAATGTAAATTTTTCTCATTTTACA